CGACGTGGACGCAGGCCTCAAGGTGACACTTTTCGCTCCCGAGGTCGATCTCTCCTAGCAATAATTAAGCTTTCAATTGACCGCAACTGGCAACGTGTTTTTAGCACGGAAAATTTATTGCGAAAAGTATTACCTCAGCCAGGGTGTGGAACCTGGACTTTCCTACACTCTAGGCGGGCGCCTCATCAATTCGACCACTGAGGCATGATCTCTCCTAGGTCGAATTGAAACCCCGCTCCGCACGACAATACCGTCGTATAACATCCGCGGCGCGAATCCACTTGCGGAACAGCTGTCTTGTGTCGCCGGTGTGTGCCCCCGGGTGATATTTTCCCCGGGCAGCGTGCCGGGTCGCTAGATAGGACACGAACACTCGGGCGATAAGAGCCGGGACACCGGTGCGTAATTTTAAATGATGCAGAGGCAATCTCGGGATTCAAACAGCCGTCGGCCAGGTGCAGGAGGAAATTAGGATAACCCTCTTCCCCGCGACCTCCGCCCACCCCAGGGGTTCCCTTCTTCGGGATCGTAGGTGTACGTGTACATGCCTCTCACGTCCCCGAGGCGCTTCCCGATGAGACAAGCCCCCTTTCCCTACCCGCCGTCAATCCTTTCTATTAAAGCGGATCCGACCTTCAGCGCGAGCACGCACAACCCTTTTCGTCCCGCCATCCCTAGCTGCTCATCTCTGTCTCCCTTTCGATCTCGTACACTTGATCGAGGACGTCGAAGGCGGGTACATTGTGCCCGCGCATTGTTCGCCGTCGTTACCGCCACGGGCTTAATTTTCGCTTGGCGGAAAATCGATAAGGTAATCGTGCGGACGTAACCGAATACATCATTTCCTAACATTTATGCTAATGGAATTCCTCGCGGTGCCCAAGTGGCGAGTCGCCTTCGATCGCGACAATCTAATCCGCCCTGCGGATTGCTCCCGCTGCCGTTTGTTTGTTTGCCTGCAACCGGGGTTCCCTATCGCCCGACTAGCAAATGCGTACAAATCCTCGAAAAGCCGGGGATTTCGAGACGCGCCCGTATTATTTAGCTCTCAAGATTTGCTGCCGGCTTTTGCCTCCCGGCAGCCTCCGGCGCAGTCTTTAATATTTTGACAATAAATCGATATCGCCGGGGTAGCTAGGTGGAAAAAGCCGTCACCGATAATTTCTGGATCCCGGCTCGGCGCCGGAAGGGGCGGGAGGCTGAGGAGCAACATTCCCCGCGTTGATAAGCGAAGAAAAGAGCCCGGGGAAGAACTCCGGCGAGCGAAGCACCGTAGATACGCGTATATCAATACTCGGTAAAAAGTATACAATAAAATCTCGCCCTATTTATTTTATTACACGATTCCCTGAGCCGCATCGAGACCTTAAAGAGGACCGTCGAGGTCCCCGCGAAGGTAACTTCCTGACAAACGACCTTATCGGAAATGGAGCTTCCGTACGCCGCCAGTTGGCTCTCCATGCTGAGGGATAATACTTTGAGATTGTAATTTCACGAGGCATCCACATAATAGAAAATCCCCCATCGGGAGAGCGGCAGTATATTAATTCTGGCTCGCGAAGGACGTCCGTTGCAATTAGCGAGTCTGCACTCGCAGGCAATTTCCGCGCAGCCACGCGTCGCCGTGGCGTCTTGTATCGCCAACAGCGCTGCTGAATCCACATTCAGGATGTGTATTAATCTCGCGGGATTGAGGGTGAACGGGACTGGGGCGGACGTGCGCAGCCCGACGGTTAATCTCGGCTAAAACCCGGCGATTGCTCCGCGCATTGCGGCGCGAATTTGCGAATAATCTCATCCGCCGCGCGAAATTCAGTTGCCGAACGATAATCCGGTCTTGCCTGCGCCCGGGAGTAACCGAATCACGGGCGCGATTAGAAACGTTTGTCCGCGGTGACGCCGACATCGAGACCGGAATCCGAATCGGTGCTTGATACGCAAACGAGGGCGCGTCGGCGAAAGCTCGACCGCGAGTTTAATGTCGGCTATCTTGACATTCGCGACACGTTAGATTCTCGCACGACGAGAGTCTCCACGTTAGAAATTTACTTTTGCTTGTTATTTTGCACGAGATTTGCATTCCAAGGCACCGGAGGAGCAGAAAAATGTGCACGGAACAAAAAATTAGTAGAATAAGATAGTATAATAAACAATAGGGGGTTTTATTAAAAAAATTGAAGGTGATCTTCACGTAACCTTCAAATGACTATCCAACGTCAAGTCAATGGCACCACCTTATGTCCCCCTTCGAACCAAACAACTTTTGTTCGAAAGGTTTTTCCGTACCTTTCATATTTTTGGAGATATTTGCGTGAATCATTAAAAATGAGACACCCTGTACAGTAGAACCTAAGACAGTAAACGAGGTCGAACTGCAAGTACAAAATTTACTCCTACTTTAAAACTGATAGTGTCGGAAGTTTCTACTTTTGCCAATTTATCATTAAAGTAGGTCCTTTTAAGTAGGAGCTAAAAAAAGTAGAGTAAAAGAATCAAGGGAGGCGTAAGAAAATATAATGTCATCAAAGTAGGTTATTGCTGGTCTATGTAGGTGTCTAGGTCAGCTAAATAGGTGTAAATTATCCCTGAAAGTGTCGAAATAGTACCAAAATTTTGACTCGGGTTGCAGCACAAAGCAATGTAGACGCGCCTACTATTTATACGGTAACATTTTAATTTTAGTTATTTTTGCCTCTGCCGGTCTTCCTGTGTATTTGAATACAAAACTATGATAAATATTGCACCTCGAGAGAATAAACTTATTCTTCCCCCCCCCCCCCCGGAAAGCCTCCCGCTTCCTCTCTCGCACGTTGATGATTTTATTATTTGCTCTTTCGGCCAATTTGTAAACGCGTTCGTGCGATAACTAACGCGATCAGGTTCAAAGTTTATTTACGCGAGCCACATTCACCGCGGACGCGGTTACTCGAGTCTCATTCCATGTTTACACTAGGTACGACTTTCCCATTGTGTTAAATGAAACTCGGAATCGGGTGGCCATTGTTTAAGCCGTGACTCGAAACAGAAGTGGGGCGACTGACGGCCGATTTGCGTTTGTCGCGGAGATTACGTCGCGCCCTTAAGAGGATGCTAAAGTCATCTGTTTTATCGACACATTCGAATATAGTTTTTGCGCTGCTGAATCTTTTTATTAGTTTTTACGCCTAAAATAATACCAGGATAAGTTGCGGACCGCATAGCAGAACGTTTTTATACTTGAAACACTCGGGTCAGAAGTCTAATGAGAAAGATATTGATATTTGAAATTTTCGATTTTTTAATTGTGAGCAATTTGAATTTGGCTTTATAATATTACAAAATTCTTCCACGCGATTACAGTACGCGTAAAAACAAAGCGGGGGGTTCACGATTTTATATAAAAAACGAAGAGAAATAAAAAATATCAGCATGTGAAGCCTAGCCACAATTATTACTTATAAAACGATATTTTTAATTTCTCTTCGTTTTTTATATGTATAAAGTCGTGAACCCCCCGTTTTGTTTTTACGCGTACTGTAATCGCGTGGAAGAATTTTGTAATTTTATAAAGCCAAATTCAAATTGCTCACGATTAAAAAATTGAAAATTTCAAATACCAATATCTTTCTCATTAGACTTCTGACCCGAGTGTTTCAAGTATAAAAACGTTCTGCTATGCGGTCCGCAACTTATCCTGGTATTATTTTGGGCGTAAAAACTAATAAAAAGATTCAGCAGCGCAAAAACTATATTCGAATGTGTCGGTAAAACAGATGACTTTAGCATCCTCTTAAGCCCTTTTTCACGCCGATCTTCCCATTAAAATTCACTGAACGAGCAGCGTAGCTTTATTTAATGGACGTCGATTTCACGCGATATCATAATTAAATATGGGTCCATTCATCCAGAATTAATAATTGATTTTAATAATTAAAAGCTCTCGCGCGATAATGCACCATCGTATACATGCAAATGCGTACACGCAGTGTTTCTGTGGATGAAACAATCGAGCAATTTACGAGTTAAAACTCGAAATTAAATTCGTATATAGTTGCCAAATAAGAGACGCTGCATTGAACTTAATTATTTATATGCGAAATATATTGCTTGTCATATTTCCGAGTGTTTTCCCCGAGATACGCGGTGGGGAAAAGAAAACCCATTTGCGAAATGAAGTCCTCTCAGGGAGATTAATTATCCTGATCCGGATAAATAAACTATTCAAGCTCGTGTTATGCGAAAGCACGTGGAAAAGTCGTGGGACAATAAACGAGCAAACGAGAATGCTGCGGAAATTAACGGAGCGTTTTGCGCTGCGCAGAGTCAAAAAATAAGTGACGACACAGGAGGAAATGAGCTCGTCGCTAATAGATAAAAATAAATTACGGCGCTAGCTGAACTGGTTCTCTAACCGATCAGAGAATAAAACATGAAGAAAGTGTAGCGTTGCAAAAAGCGAAAATTACAACGAGTCACAATAAGTTTAACAAGGGGGCAGACACATCGAGCTTGAAAGCAATGAGCCAACGAATAAGAAAGTTAGAGTGTAGCAAATAAAAATAGTCGATACCGTCCATGTGAAGTCGAGGGTGTGTAAAAACAGATAAGAGGAGAAAATAGATAGTACAAGTACGGCCCGTAGATAAAAGGGTGCCCGCGATCGATTCCCCGTGCGGAAGCGAGAACGAATTGAGTCGTAAAAAATATGAGGAGAGTTGTCGTCGGAGATGTGCGAATTACGTTTCACCCGGTCGCAAATGTGTAAATTCATATCCGCGTTATCCCCGCGGGGCTGCAGTCGGCTGCAGCTGGCGCGGATAAAGATAGGAGCTGAAGAAGAGATCATCGGACTCACCCTCCTCGTCCAGCAGAATATTGTCCGGCTTGATGTCCCGATGGATGATCCGGTGGGTCTGCAGGTAGTCGAGCGCCAGTGCAATCTCGGCGACGAACAGCAGGACGCTCTCCTCGCCGAACACGACCTCCTGCTGGATGTGGTACCTCAGGTCGCCGCCCAAAAGCAGATCCGACACCATGAAGAGGTCCTCCTCGTCTGCAACAGGAGGGACAGGCGGGCGTAATCCTCTCCTCCTACGCAACCCCTTTCCCCAAGGTCACCCTCTTTCGTCACGTTCGACGAGCGCGCGCTCGCGAGACGAAAGCGGCGCGTGGTCGTCGAACGGTTGACCGATCAATATTGACCCAGTACAGTCAGGCACAGAGTTCGGGGGATGCGTTATTGTCTCGATATATTTCGCGTACGGTACGATAAAACCGATCGCGAACAATGCGCGGTACGAGCCGCCTCTCTCGGCAAACAGGCGCGCCGCGTAACCGCACGCGCGAATTCTGTGTGACGCGGGGCCTCTGTTAAAAACGTTCCAAGGACGGAAATCGATGGACACGGCAATTTCCCTGGTTCGCGTGTAATATCGTTAATCGCCGGCAAGCTGTTGAATAAATTCCCAGCGAGTAATTTGCATCATTTACGTGAAATCACCGCGACTTTATTATCCCGTTATGCACAATTTGCCTCTTTCACCCGATGCAGGGCGCTGCCAATGAGCATTTATCGGCGATATTCTTTCGCCGAGATACAAATTAAAAACGTTAAAGCGATTAAGGTATTGGAACACAAAGCCTCTGTTAAAATTAAACGCTACGTTCAATTTCTGTCCACGTGTCGGCTTGTCTCATATATTCCGCGTATATTGGCAAATGCGGAGAATGGCGCAGAGCGATATCCTTCGCGAATGATCGACGCGAATGAAAATAGAAAGCACGGCAGCTCTCGGCACGAGACAACTTTTAACTTGATTTTTCTATAGACACAATTCTATCTCAACACGGAGTAATCTGCTAATTGTCGCACGATATTAACAGGGTTGGGAAAGTTACTTTGTGAAAGTATCCGGTTGCAGTTGCAGGTTTTTCGCTAAAAATGTAACTGGTGACAAGTTGCAAATTACCAATTCTGAAAAGTAACGCGTTACTCAAAAACGTAACGAATCGTTACTTTACGTTTACTTTCTTGCAGTAAAAATGAAAATATCAAATATGCATTTGAATTGCGAAGCGTCGATAAAAGCGTTTACGCGCAAATGCAAGACCTAATGCGATCTATGGAGGTTGAAAAAAAAATAAAGCAATTATTAATGTAACTATTAAATTAGTTATTAGTTATCGAAAAATGTAACTGAGATAAGTTACAGTTAAAGATGGAGAGAAAGTAACGAAGTTAAGTTAGTTACCAAAAAGAAAGTAACCGTAACTGTAATTTCGTTACAAGTAACGAGTTACTTCCCAACCCTGGATATTAACATTTACATGTACGTGTTAGTTGGATGTTTGTACAAGCTAGATGCTACAGAAAAATCTTTCACAACTGTATTAGGTATAGAATAAACTGTAATTACGTTATTTATCAAACATTTTAACAAACTGCGCAATTATAAGTTTAAAATTAATTAAAGTCCGGAAAGATATGCACGACTGATATATATTTTTTTTACTTTCAGTGAGGTCGCAATTATATCCTCCGCTCGCTTGTATTTGCTCCATTATAATATCATCGATTTCTTTTTCGCGCGCAGGACTCCAGTGATTCTTTTGCTCGCGCTCTTCTGTTATTTAAAAATTATACCGCGACCTATCCATCAAAATCTTTGACGACAAAAAATTCGATAACATTCGTTTCGTTATTTACAAGCCACGTCCGAGCATCTCGTTTAATATATGAGCCACGTAGAGAGCCGGTGGACTGATGAGACTCTCATTAAAGTCTTCACGGCAACTGCGAGTTTCATATTGCTCGTTTTTGCATAAATATTTGCACCATCCGTATTCCCGAGAGGACGTCGAGAGGACTCGGCTTCTTTCAATAAAGTGCTGTGTGTTTTTGCGAGATAAGCGTAATCGTTTAATACGCGTTTGTCGACTGGATAAACAAAAAAAAATCCGAAAAAGAGACATCACGCCCGTGGTTTCGCGCGATAACGAGAATATCGTGCTTTTCGCACTTTAATATTTGCTTTATCCTCTTTACATAAAAAAGACAAAGTCCATTGATGCCGTAAGGATTGGCGAATAATTCAATCGATTCCGGTGAAAGATGGAAAAATACAGTAACAATAATTGAACATTGCAATGTCAATGAAATAATTAGCAGATTAAAACCTCCTTAAATATGTGAGAGCGGATAAATTTGTTTTCAACAGAAATTCGGAATTTAATTATAAGGATATTAAATGGACGGGCGGTGAGAGAAATTACCAGCGTTTAATAAAAATCCGTTTAAAATGTTCAACGAGTTCTTTTTGTAAATACCTAAATTTCATTCCGCGAACGTTCCCCTATTTCCGTGTTCGTTTCCTCGTGGATTTGAATTCGCGGGATAATTATCCATCATTGTGCACTGCCTTTCATTATCGCGATCTTTATTAATTCATGAGAAAAGGCGATTGTTACACATTTAATTCGCAACAAGATATTATAATTTTAGCACAAATTGCAATTCATCGCGACAAGGGAGAATCACGCATGTGTAGTACTGCGCAGGCACGATTCTTTACTTTTACGATGGTGTAAGACAGAGAAAGAAAATCTTCTTAAATCTCTCTCTCTCTCTCTCTCTCTCTCTCTCTCTCTTCACAAGCTTCGGCTTATTTAATGGGACGCTCAGTCTATATTTACTATGTCTATGTACTAAGGCCTGGTTTTTCATTTTCTGGTTAATTGTCAACCAGAAGTTAGTCGACTCTCTATCTCTTCTCAGATAATAATATAAAAAAAAGATGGAGAGTCGACTGAACTTTGGTTAACAATTGACCCAGAAAAACTGGGCCTAAGAGATTCACAGCCCCTCCGTATAAAGCTATTATTTGTGTTAATTTCTTTGAGATCAGCTGATCAAAGCCGAACTTTTTTTCTCAACGCAAAATATCGCGCTGTCAACGTTTCTCACAGCGACAAAAGAGATGAAAGGACGGAGTTAATAGAGGATTCGTGAAAAAGTTCTTCCTGCGGAGCAGCTGTGTACATTTTACGCGTTTCCCACGAGATCTGGAAGAATGACTCGAAGGTTGATCGATGGCTCGGAAAACGATTTACCTTGGAAGCTGAACCATAAATTCACCAAGCAGGGATGCTCCAACTTCGACAGGATCTCCACCTCCCTCGCCACATTCTTCAGGGCGCCCCGTTCCGCGCATTCGTTTTTATGTACGTACTTCATGGCGTACATGCTGCCGGTACTGTCACGTTTTTGCACGATGCAGACCTGTTAGCAGAAATTGCACCGAAACTTAATTCCGCCCAGCGAATTCGTGCCATCCGTCGCTAAAGCCGTCTGGCCGCGTGCAAGTTTCCCCGAGTCTCGGCAAACTGAAGATTCGCGGAACATTTCATTTCCTTGCGGAATAATGGGCAGCTAAAACGTTCTTCGTTTCTTTATCTGGACGCGATATACTGCGGTACTGATGTTTGCTTTACTCCGCTCTTGTATCGCTCCAAAAAAGATTCTTAGCAAATCATGATTAGCTACACGGAAAGACCGGCTGAGGCAAAAATAACCAAAGTTAAAATGTCGCCGTATAAATAGTAGGGGCGTCTACATTGTTTTGCGTTGCAACATTCGCTAAGGCCGGTATTCATAGTCCGTTCTTATATTTAAGATCATCTTAAGTATACTCTTAATGTAGTAATTATTAAGTATACTCTTATATAAATTAAGTATACTCTTATAACTTTTCAACCAATCACAGAGCCGTATTGGCGTCTTAAGACAATACTTAAGATGATACTGAAATAAGAATCGACTATGAATACCGGCTTAAGTTTGCTGCACAAAACGCACAAACAGTTGTCTTCACAAACCAACATTGGTATGATAAGCAGTGAAGACAACTATTACTATTTATTGGGGCTGTGCTAACCCTAATTATCCACGACGGACTCGAGCGTTCAGTTTCTTTGGGAATTTTACAGACAGTGTGATGGCGCGCCGGTTTACCGAGAGATCAGCTCGCTAACCAGAACCACTTCCATCCACGATACCCTGAAATAGAGACCCCGTAATCAGAGACTGGCCATAAGAGTTCGTCAAATTCCTGCGAGTGAGAGAGAAACACGAGCTATCTCACTCTCCTACGATCGTAACGAAACGGAATTTAACGAACTCTTCTGGCCAGTCTCTGATTACAGGGGTCTCTACCCTGAAAATGCGGATAGCAACCCTAATTGGACATGTGATAACCATATCGGTCTCTCCGTGCGCGGTAGCGAAAAATTTTTTTTCAGCGTGAAACTTGCACACGGGAAAAAATGTAGCCGCCGTAGCTGAAAACTGCAAGGCGGCAACTAAATTTTAGTTGGAAAATATGAGCAGCTAATATTTAGCTGCGATAGCTAATATTTTACTACTGTGCCTATTACGTTAGGTGCGACAGCAAACCGTTTGCTGTGGTTTCGAAATTTACAGCTACGGCAGCAAAATATCTTTAGCAAATCATGATTAGCCGTGGCGGCGAACTTTTTTCTTCAGCGTCTAATTACGTGTTATTCGAGGAAAGAAACATTTTGTAATTTTTTTCGTAAAAAAATCTCGAATAAACGGAGAACAGTTTCAAGCCGCGAACGACAGCGGGGTCGTCCGTTATAAAAATTTAATTCACTCTAATGTTTATTCAAGAATAGGCGGCGTCGCGCACTCGCTTCCCCATAAAAAAAATGGGTGAACGAGTTTCAGAATTTCTGCAGCGACCATACCCGATAGATGTAAAAGCGCACCGAGGAACGCACTTTTTTTTTACGATCAGGAGCGCGAGGCATTTTATAGCGGCATAAATGCAATTCGTGCTTGTCGCGTTCTTGCGTTACGAACCGAATAAACACGCGCCCGTTGGTCCGCGCCGCGTTCTTCAAACAATACATTTACGTAGTAAACGCGTTCGGCAACGGACTACGTGCGATTCGCGCGGCTCAACGGAGACGGGACTGTGTGTAATGGCAACAAAAAAAAAAGACAAAAGTCCTGCAGTTCATTTTCGAGGCTCGGCGCGTTTTCCGCACGGACGGGAAGCGACGTGTAAATTACTTTACCGTTCGATTAGCGAGACCGCGCAGAGCGCCTGCGTAAACGCGAAAGAGTATATGCCGGCCGGACCGACCGCGGGGGATTTCCGTCCGGGATAAACGGCGCGGGGAAATCGTAATCTGTACCGATTCCAAAATCATCGAATACGCGAATAAAAGCCGCGAGAACGCCCGGCTCGGTTTGTAGCGATACCCCCGTGCGGTACATCCCTCCCCCCCCCCATCCCCCCGTCGTGATCCTCGCCGGAAAGCAACTCGCAGCGACGTACCTTGCCGAAGCTGCCTTTCCCAATGGCGCGTAGGATTTGAAAATGATCGAAATTCACTGCAACAGAGAAATGCGAATCAATTGAGGCGATGCGAAATGGCGAATTTAACGGTGAGCGGGCGCATTGACTCCCCCGCTAATGAAGCGCAGTCGTAATGGTGGATGGATAATCGCAATGGCTCACGGGGCATTCGTGTCTATGCAGTATGTTAAACTCTCGACGCTAATCGGGATCAGCTCTCGTCGGCACTGGCAATTTGAAAATTGCCCTTTGTGTGAGACGCGAGAGGGTATCTTGTTGAACGCAGCAGCTCATGGCTACGGGGTGTCTGGGAAGTTGCCGAGGCCAATGTCATTTTCCGAGAGAAAAGTCGGCAATTTTATTCTGGCTGCGGTGGAAGCGAGCCCGTGCGTGTCAAAACGTGTGAACTGGAAGCGCGATGGAAGAAAAGGTCTTCCTTATCGAGTCCTTCTAGAGGAAAAGATGTGTACAGTAGATTATGGGAGATTTCATGCTAAATACAGAACATGAAAGTTACGAACGAAAAGATAAGAATTCATTATTTAGTTATATTTATGCGTTGCGTCACCTCATTTTTTGGTAATCCATTAAAACAGTTTTTCCGTAAAAATGGTTATTTTTAGCAGAATTATCGACAATTTTATGCATAATTTTATGGAGTTATTCAAGACCTTACGCGCTTCGAAAATATTTATCACCAGCTTGTTTGACTGTAAGTAGAGGACAATCCCTTATTACGAGGTAAGCTTTTAATATGAGATAGCAGGTTTTCAATATTCAGAAACTCCGCTATCTCATATTAGGAGCTTATCCCATAATTAGGGACTTCCCTCTACAATTTTCGTTTCACCATTTTGTATACCGAATAAATAAACTGGTATACAAACGTTTTGTTGAATTTTATTTACACCCATTAAAAATTGCCGACTCTCCTCTTTCCAAAGCGATATATTTGTTTCTCTAATAACTGCGTGCATCCGTAAATAATAGTTTCAGCAACTTCCCATGGGACACCCTGTACGTTTTAATTAAACCGCCCCTTTGGCGAAAGCGCGGAACTCGCGGTTCTAGCCAGGGGTCCGTCGCTCCCGCAAAAAAAAAAATTCGAAACTGTTTCGAAACTGCAGCGTCGATATACGTAAACTGCAGATCCTGGCAGGGATCGATCTCGGCGGATGCATGAACGCGTAGTTTATATTGCACCAACACGCAGTATCTGTTCTCCCCGAAATAGCATAACCGCGGCGGAGAGGCGCGCAGCGACTCGAGAACTTCGAGCTTGATCTTCTCCAGATTCGACTTACGTGGGAACTCGCCTTCTCGCCGCAGTAAAGTTAATCGAGCCTGAAGTAACAAGAGAGAGAGAGAGAGAGAGAGAGAGAGAGAGCGTGATAATGCGAGACACGAGAGATTTAATCAATTTTCAAGTATTATATTTCGCAGTCGTTTCGTTTCGACATGCTTGCAAACGATTGTAGATACGCTTTTTCCATAATTCTATTTATTATTAAATTTTCGCGTTGCTCGACATTATTTCAAAATATTGGAAAACAATTAATATAAGTACATTGAAAACAAAATTGCAATTATAAATATACGTTTAAAAGAAAGTAAAGGCGAGACTCCGTTAAAGTTATTGACCGACTCGGCAGTTATACGAGTGCGAGAAAAGCGACATTTTCAATATTCGCCACTGAGGCTGAAAGGCGAGTCGCGCCTCCGAGAAAGAGTCCGCGGAGGAGGCGCCCCTTTTTCCAAGAATGTAATTACAATAGGATTGAATTATTGGATTTTTCCAGGCGGGATTAAACGTTGCGCGATATACAACCGACAGGGAAAAGATTTATTAATAGCCCCGGCAACAGCTCGATAGTCTGTAATCGAGTCGTAAGCGAGGACTTCGACGCGACGTCGCGCCGTATCGCGCGCGCATTTCGCGAGATATGGCGAAAGCTACGGCCTCAGCGAGGTATAAACGCGATAGAATAAGGCGATCTCCTGCGAAACGGTGCAAGTTGTCGATGCGTATCCGTTCGCGCAAGAATTCCAGCTATGCGAATTACACGATACCAAGCGGAGCGATATAACGCGGAGCGGCATCTCTATAACTGATATCTACATATTTCATAACGTCTCGGTAATAAATATAACTCGAGGATATAAGTTTCATTAAATCATCAATTAATTAAGGACTCTCGAAGTTGACGAGTAACAAGGACAGGGCTTTGAGAATCAAGTGGTTATTTGTGCGTGAATTAACGTTACGTATAGGGAGAATTTTCTCTTAAAATTTACCTCGAAATTCGTGCAATCGTGGGACAACGTGGCATTTTGAAGATCTTTATGTGAGTTTTTTGAAATTTTGCCGTACTTTCTAGTGAAATTTCTAGTAAATACATCAAATAAATACATTCTAGTAAAATTTTTTTCAAATGTTACTATATAATCTACTAGTAAATTTTTTTTAAATTTACCGTACATTCTATTAGTGATTTTTTTTTTGAAAATTTACCATACATTCTACAAGTAAATTTTTTTGAAATTTTACCATACATTCTAGTAGTAAGATTTTTTTTAACTTTTACCATACATTTTGCTAGTAAAAAACTCAAAATTCTTCGAAATGCCGTGTTGTCCCACGATTACACAACTTTCAGGATAAGTTTTAAGTTTTAAAATTACAAATTTTCTCGGTGTAGCAACTAACAATCCAATACAAATGACGAACCGTGCGCTTCGGCTTTTCATGAAGCCATCCTCAGCGCGACGCGGTGGTAGACAAATTAAATAATCTCACGCTCTCCGATGAGCTTAAGGGAAGTACAAAAGTTTTATGTGTAAAGATAGCGCATTTTGGGGAGAAAATACTAGAAGAATTCTGTTAATATTTAATTTA